GTGATGCTGATTATGCAGGAGACAGAGTTGAACGTAAAAGCACTTCTGGAAGCTGTCAGTTTCTTGGAAGTCATCTGATCTCATGGTACAACAAGAAGCAACCCACTATTGCACTATCAACTACAGAGGCAGAATACATTGCTGCTGCTGGATGTTGTACGCAGATGCTCTGGATGAAGAGTCAATTAGAAGATTATCAGATCTATGAGAGTAATCTTTCTATCTTCTGTGATAATACTTCTGCTATATGTTTGTCAAAAAATCCAATCTTGCATTCTAAGGCTAAACATATAGAAATTAAACATCACTTCATCAGAGACTATGTTCAGAAGGGTGTAATCAATCTAGCCTTTGTTGATACAGATCATCAATGGGCTGATATTTTCACAAAACCCCTTGCTGAAGATAGATTTAAGTTCATTCTGAAAAATATTTGTATGGATTTTTGTCTAGAGTAATATTTATCAGAGGCAACTTCTCAGATGCAAAATGTTTAATGATCTGAAGTATTTCACCTGACTTTTGTTCATTTATTTTTAATTAATTTATTTGTGTGAAACTCTAAACTAACAAACTCAGAAGATCTGAAAGTTGGAAACATTTCATTTCTTGAGAGACATCAGATACACATACAAAGCAAACACGTGTCACTCAGTATCTGAAACGATGGAGTGCTCAACTTGACGTTTGAGGTATTGCTTTGAAAATCTCATTTTTCTTGGTTTTCCCCTCAGCTGTCATAATTTTAATGTGAAATGATTACTTTCATTAAATGCTGTACAAACGTGCGTATGTGTCTTTTGTTGTGCCCAATGCTTGATTTTTTTGGTTCTCTATAAATACCACCTATCACACTATTTTCACACTTTTCACATTCACTACACTCATGCGTTTCTGCTTACTCTTCAAACTCTACCAAAACCCTAAACCCAAATCAAGATCTTCTTCTTCATCAATGGCTTCTACATCAAATACTGCTGAAAAATCCAACAAAACTATAATGTACAAGAAACCAGAACGCACCTTATTTACTCAAGTAGCAGATCTTGAGGTTTTGTGTGAGAGCTTCGTTGATCTTGAATCATTAAAGGAAAATGGGTTTGACCTAACACCTGCCATTAAAGCTCAAGGCTGGGAGAAATGCTTTGAGAGATTGATGGGTCCTGTGTACCCAACTTTTGTAAAGGAATTCTGGATTCACGCTAGCGCTGGTTCTAAGTTTATTCACTCATCTGTCCTTGGGATGAAGATAGTGATTACTGAGAAACTGATCAGACAACTGTTTAGTTATACCGAATCTGATGGAGTTTCAAACCTTGCTTCTTCACGTATTGATATGGCTAAGGTATATGAAGAAATCACTGTAGCTGGAACACCAACAAGTAAGGTTAAAGATCTGAAACCTATCTATAGGATCTGGGCAAAGATATTTATGAGTACATTTTTTCACAGAAAATCATCCAACTCACCAAACTATGTGAGTTCAGAACATCTGTATTTCATGTACTGCATCAGCCAGAACGTTAAGGTGGATTTGCTCTATCTGATCTTCAGTCATCTTCTGACTCATGTCAAAGAAACTAGAGAAGAGGTCAGAGCTAAAGTTGGGAAAGTTAGAACTTGGATACCTCTGGGAAGACTGATTTCAAACATCCTTGTTGAAAACAAGCTGGTAAAGCATCTGACAGATGCAAAGATAACAGAAGATCTGTCATACATCATTGGATCTGAGATAAATGGACTCAATCTGAAAAGGATGAAAATCATTTCAGAAATGAATGGAAAATTAAGGAAGATAAACTCTGAGGAGGTCCATGGCAGAAGGATACCCTTAGAAGACTTTCCAATGTTCAGTGCAGATGAACCAAAGGAATTTGTCTGGATTTACATTGCAGAATGTCTAAAGGAAGGAATTCCTCTACCTGCTAATCTTGTTCAAAAATCAGGAGAAGAAATGCCCAATCTGATGAAGGAAAGGCGTAGTAAGAGGAAAACTGAAGAAGGATCGATTCAGAAGAAAAGGAAAGTATCTGAAGTTCCAAGGAAGAAGAAGAAAGGAGGAAAGAAAGCCAGAATCAGTTCTAGAGATGCCACTCTGGAAGAGGTTAGAGACACTATTCATCAAGTATTAACATCTGATCCTACGCCTGCTGTTCATTCACTCCTTTCATCACCGCAACTCTCTCCAAACCTTAGACAAAGAACTTCAACACCCAAACAATCTGCAAATCCTTTATCTGAACCACCCTCATCTGAACCAGTACATTCACAACCATTTTCTGTACCAATTCCCTCTGAACCCCAACCTCATATTATATCTGAACCCCCTCAAACAATTCAAACAGAAATTCCTCAACCTCAAACACTTCAGTCAGAAATTCCACAAACAGAAACAATTCAACCGGAAATTCCTCAAACAGAAATTCCACAACCAGCAATGTCACAACCAGATAATCCCCAATTAGAGATACTCCAACTAGAAACAATCATTTCAGAACCAAACCAATCAGAGACTGTTCAAACTGAACACTCTGAACAACCAATTCCATCAGAAGATCCAAATCTTTCTGACAATATTCTGGATATAGAACCCCTAAATCAATCAATTATAATTTCCTCAACATCTGTTCACTCAGATGAAACTTCTGATTGTGAATCATCTGATTCATCTGATTTTGAATCAGAGTCACTCAAACAAGCACGTTCTGAAAGTGTTATGAAGGAACATCTTAACATTTCCATGTTTCATACTCCACCAAACTCTCCACCTCAACCACAACCATTTGAAATTCAACTATCTGAAACTCAAACATCTGGAACCCAAACCATTCCTCAACCATCTGAAATCAATCCATCTGACACACAAACCATTCCTCAACCATCTGAACTCCCTCAATCTGACATCCAAACATCTCAACCAACATCACCTCAACCACAACCATCTGAACCTACACCATCTGAACCTACTCCTGTTAACACTCCTAATCCTAATCCCTCTGAACAGTTTGAACAGTCAGATCTAGGATCATGTGTTAATGCTATGTTTGAAATTTTCAAAAAGGAGATAGATTCTGAATATACTCGTGTTAAGGATGTGTGCATGTCTAGTTTGGATCCAACTGTTTCAAATGCTGCTTGGAAGCGCTTCATCTGGATGTTCAACAAAGTTGCCTTAAAAGTTAGAGCTAAATGCTCTAAGCTTGCTAAGACTAAAATTGCAGAATTAATCAAGGTAACTCTGATGAACATGCCTCCTCCTCCTCCTGTGTTACTTTTGGAAGCTGCTCCTCCAGTAGTTCCTGAATCTGAAATGGTTGAACAAGCTTCTGAAGAAAACCAATCTGAAGGGAATCCTGCTGCTACTGCATCTGCTCCCTCTCCATCTGTGGTCACAGAGCTTGTGAATGATGTTAAGGATATAAAAGATTGGATGATCAAGCAAGAGAAGACAACTGATGAGATCAAGACCTGGATGTCTAAGCAAGAAGAGTCAACTGCCAAAATGACAGAGCTTCTGACCCTTATTGCCTCTCGCCAGACTTAGTTTCAATTAAAATATAAAAAGTAAAGGTAAAATAAAAAAAGGTAAGCGATGAAATACTTAAATTAGTTTATAAAAAATAATTATAAATTAATAAATATGTTATAAACTTGTGAAATTTTATCAAATAAGTCTTTTTTTTATTTTTATTTTATTTTAAGAAAAGAGTTTATAAATTAAAAACTCAAAATAAGACTTATCAAATAGAACCACAAGAGTGTTTAGAATTGAAAAAAACTATAAATTCTAGATAAACAATTAATTTGACCTCAAAATGTGTAAGTTTTTCTTTAATCATCAAACATATTTAGTGTTATTTACATTATCCATATTTATATTTAAGTTTATTTATTACTAACTAATTAATTATTAATATAATTTTAATTAAATTTATGTTTTAAATATATTATTAATATAATTTTAACCAAATCTATATTTTGAACATTCTTATCCAAAATAAAAATCAAATTAGTTTAATTTTTGAAAATCATAAAATAAATATATAAAAATAAATTTCAAAAATGTTTTTTGAAAAAAGCTTTTTTATAAGTTTCTTTTTTTCTTTTTGAAAATAATAAACAAATTCTATTTTTCTTAAAAGTGTATTTTGGGAAAAAATAATTTTTCTTAAAATTTTTAAAAGTGTTTTTTGGGAAAATAGTTTTTCTGAAAAAGTAAAGTGTTTTTTAGGAAAAATATATTTTTTTTAAAAAGTAAAAATTCAATTATGACAATTAGTTTTAAAAATCAGTCATAACATAGAAATTATTATATTATAATTAATTTATGAATATTTATAAAAATAAACTGTATATGAACGTCTGAAAAAATTTAAATAGAAAGAAACATATCATTTGGCTTTACAAACAACCAATCACAATTTTTTTATTAATTAAAAAATATAAAAAATATTTTCTCTCCTCTATTATCACAATCACCTTCTGATTTTAATTAAAAAAGAAATTAAATTTTAAATAAATTTAAAAATTTTTCTCTTTTTATCATTTGTTTCTAAAAATAAAAATTTAGATTTGTTTCAATGCAAATTTTTATCAGTGATCATCTTTGTCTGGAATATCTTGTAATAATGCTTGTAATCTTTCGATTAATAGTTTTTGTCAAATAGTCCGTGACTAGACTGAAATGGAAAATCCCACATTGCAATTAATACTATTTTTTCAAAATCTGTTTGTAATTTCCTTAAATATGCTCACAGCTTCACACGTGCCAAATTGGCCTAGTGCTCAAAACACTATCTGATAATCATTTCAGAGAACCATCCCAACCCAACACTTCAGTTATAATCAGCGCATGTATAGAAGAAAGACAGACACACAAATATACTATAAATAGTTTCAGTTTTGTTTATTCTTTCAATCTTCTTCTCCTCTCTGTAATAATACTAATGCCATCTTAACCTCTTTCTATACATACAAATCTCATTGATCTTGAAGCAACTATGACGATGGATTCATCAGCCAAAATGGATCATCCGAAAGACAAGTATCCTGGAAAACTCACGTTTAGAGTCATTATCACTTGCGTCATGGCAGCTAGTGGTGGGTTGATATTTGGTTACGATCATGGTGTTTCAGGTAATTGATCCCCATCATGATAATAATAACTTTTGGATCCTTGTTTTTACTATCTGAAAATGGAGTTTTCGTATCTGATATCTGATTTTTGTTGTTATGTTGAATTAGGGTTAGCTTTTATGTCTTTTTTTTTTTTTTTGTTTTTTTTTGTGATGCATATGTAATGATTGATGAAATGACTGACTTTCTTTTAGGTGGAGTGACATCGATGGATACATTTTTGAAAAGATTCTTTCCATCTGTTTATGCACAGGAGTCAAATCTGAAACCTTCTTCAAATCAATATTGCAAATTCAACAGTCAGATTCTGACACTGTTTACATCCTCCCTTTATCTAAGTGCTCTTATTTCTGGTCTTGGGGCATCCACCTTAACAAGAGCTTTGGGTAGGCGGGTAACTATGATTTTGGGTGGGCTGTTCTTTGTGTCGGGTGCATTACTCAATGGATTAGCCATCAACATATTGATGCTTATTTTTGGAAGGTTGTTGCTTGGTTTTGGCATCGGATGCGCCAATCAGGTACATTTCGTTTAATTTGCAAGCGTCCGGGAAAAAAGATACATGAGAGTGATATTCGGGTCATTGTTTTATATGGTTAGTAAATAGACAGATAGGCATACTGACAGATAGATAGATTGGATGTGCCTTGATATGAATATGATTATAATCTTCTCCTAACCAATTTGGTCCACGTGTTTTATGAGTGTTATACAAATTCGGATATCAATTCTAAGAGTGATTCTAAGACTTTCGAATCAAAGAAAAAAACTATTTTTTGGGGACACTTGTCTGACTTTTTTGCTACTTGTTTGACTTTCCGACACATGTCTTACGAGTGTCAAACATAGACGACACATGCCGGACATTGTGACACACTTACTCCTAGAGGTGTTGCAAACAGATAGACAAATTGATTATGTCTTAATATGATTATAATGTTTCTCCTAAGCAATTGTTACATTTTTTATATATGTTTGCAGTCAGTTCCAATCTATGTCTCAGAAATGGCACCTTATAAGTACAGGGGAGGTCTAAACATGTGTTTCCAATTGTCAATTACTATTGGTATATTTTCAGCAAATCTCTGCAACTACTACTTTTCAAAGATACTGAATGGTGAAGGATGGCGATTAAGCTTGGGGCTAGGTGCTGTACCTGCGCTGATTTTTGTTGTAGGCTCATTTTGTCTCCCTGATTCTCCAAACTCCCTTGTTGCACGTGGTCATCATGAAGCTGCAAGAAAGGAGCTTGTGAAAATTCGCGGCACTAATGATGTTGATGCAGAGTTTAAAGAAATTATTACTGCTAGTGAAGCCTCGGATAAAGTGAAACACCCTTGGAGATCATTGTTTGAGAGAAAATATAGGCCACAACTTGTTTTCGCCATATTGATTCCTTTCTTCCAACAATTCACTGGATTGAATGTGATCACGTTCTATGCTCCCATTTTGTTCAGAACAATTGGTTTTGGAAGTCAAGCTTCACTCATGTCTGCCGCAATTATTGGAAGCTTTAAACCTGTTTCCACTTTGATTTCAATGTATGTTGTAGATAAATTTGGACGGCGTGCCCTTTTCATTGAAGGTGGTGCTCAAATGTTAATCTGTCAGGTACACTTTCTCAATTTTGCACTTTAGTCGGTACACTTTCTCAATTTTGCACTTTAGTCTCTCTTTTTTTTCTTTCGGCTTTTAATCGTGTTTCTTTGTTTGTTTTCGCCCCAGATTCTGATGACAATTGCTATTGCTATAACATTTGGCACAAGTGGGAACCCAGGGAAACTACCCAAGTGGTATGCAATTGTTATCGTTGGGATAATCTGTGTATACGTTTCTGGTTACGCTTGGTCTTGGGGACCTCTAGGATGGTTAGTACCTAGCGAAATATTTCCTCTGGAAATTCGATCTGCTGCTCAAAGTGTCACAGTTAGTGTCAACATGACCAGCACTTTTTTCATAGCCCAGTTCTTCACGTCAATGCTTTGTCACTTCAAGTTCGGTTTGTTCATCTTCTTTGGGTGCTTTGTAGTCCTCATGACTTTCGTCATCTACAAGTTTTTACCAGAAACAAAAGGTATCCCACTTGAGGAAATGAACATGGTTTGGAAGAAACATCCCTATTGGGGAAGGTTTTTGGAGGCAGAAAATAACAAACAAGTTTCCATGACAGAAACCAAAGGTTAA